GCCATTAGGAGGTCTTTCTTCTAAAGCAAGAGCACACAAGAGAAGTGTCTTAGAAATTAACCACAAAATACATCATACTGAGTTGTTAACAAAGTCCTCTGTTCCTGCTAACGGGTGCTGATTTACTAGCAACGATTTTTATTTAGAAAAGTCAGCGTAAAACGAAGAGGCAAGCCAGCGAAATGTTCTAAAGATGATGCGCCTCTACAGGCTGTTCTGCAATGCTCTGGTAAAACACAGTGGATTAAAGAAAATAATCTTTGTCAAATACTAGGATGCCGTTAAACAGCAAGAGGGGACAAAAATGCATCTATCCTTCAAAGCTCCACCCCCCCCCCCATAGTAACATAGTTAATTAGGCCTGAAATAAGGCCTTGTTACGTAAGTACGTAGGAGGTAGGGGAAAGGAAGATAGACAAGAGGAAGAGATGAAATACAAAGGAGCTGTGGTTTGAAGCTGCCTACATGCCTATAGGTAGAACTTCTGATTTCTTAGTATTGCGTGTCTTGTGCACGCTCTGCTGTTCACCCTCCCCCACTGGAAGAAAGGTGGCACAGTGACAACTGACAGCAAGCACGCCTGCCTGAAAAGGAGAGCCCAAAATTTAATGCGGTAACAGACAGACATTTCTATAAAACTCATTACAGAACACACTGTAACAAAATGCATCATGAAAAGCAATTTAATAAGTAAAATTGAGTTCGTACCAAAAAAACCTGCAGGTTGCAGCAGTATAGAAACCAGAAAATCTGGAACAAAGCGATGACTCGTGGCAAAACAAGCTTCACACACTGCCTTACGACACAGAGCAATCCCGCTCAGGGTCAAAACCCTTAGGGATTAAAGTTGCTCTGCTGAGTCTTCTCCCTCTGCGTTCCCAGCCCCCAGCTTGTTTTCCCCATAATCAACATCCAAACCAGACAGATTAAAACAAAGGTTAAATGCTGCGGGAATTTTTTTTTTTTTCTTTTACAGCATCTTTCAATTAGGGTCTGGTCCAGAGTTATGCAAGTAAAACTATTTAATATACAGAAGCATATTTTTGGCATATTTTCCTGCT